GTCAGATAAGCTGATTTCTATAGCCATAGGATTTGTATCCCCCTATCATTATAGTCAGAGAAGCTGATTTCTATAGCCATAGGATTTGTATCCCCCTATCATTATAGTCAGATAAGCTGATATCTTTAGCTGTAGGATTTGTATCCCCCTATCATTATAGTCAGATAAGCTAATAAGCTAACTGCCATACTGTAAATATAACTGCCATACCATAAATATAACTGCCATACCATAAATATAACTGCTATACCATAAATATAACTGCCATACCGTAAATGTAACTGCCATACAATAAATATAACTGCCATACCGTAAATGTAACTGCCATACCGTAAACATAACTGATATACCGTAAACATAACTGATATACCGTAAATGTAACTGCCATACCGTAATTATAACTGCCATACCGTAAACATAACTGATATACCGTAAACATAACTGATATACCGTAAATGTAACTGCCATACCGTAAATATAACTGCCATACCGTAAACATAACTGATATACCGTAAATATAACTGCCATACCTTAATTAAAACTGCCATACCGTAAACATAACTGATATACCGTAAACATAACTGATATACCGTAAATGTAACTGCCATACCGTAAATATAACTGCCATACCGTAAACATAACTGATATACCGTAAATATAACTGCCATACCTTAATTAAAACTGCCATACCGTAAACATAACTGATATACCGTAAACATAACTGATATACCGTAAATGTAACTGCCATACCGTAAATATAACTGCCATACCGTAAACATAACTGATATACCGTAAATATAACTGCCATACCTTAATTAAAACTTACATACCGTAAACATAACTGCCATACTATAAATATAACTGCCATACCGTAAAAGTAACTGCCATACCGTAAATACAACTGCCATACCGTAATTGNGCCATACAATAAATATAAATGCAACACCATAAATATACATAACTGTCATACCATACCAAGATCATATCTTGTTGACTTGTTCACCTGCTTTTACAGAATTTACAACATACCAATAGATACAACAAAACCTGTCCAAACTGACCACCAGGACAAATATTTTTTTATTTGTTGCTAAAGAGGTCACTTTTTACACAGGTCCAAGTCAAACAGAAATGTAACAGTGGGACCTTGACTGTAACCTTGTTTGGTTAAATCCCTCATATACATATCAGCACCATTAAGGTGATTTGTCAAACATACAGCAGACAGACCCGCATTTGAAGTGTTACAATTAAAAGGTATGGTTTTATCTTTTTCAAAGTAACGAACTGAACCAAACGAACTGAAAATTGTCAAATAAAGACGGACATTACGACACATTTTTTTCTAATATTAATGTCCAATGTATAGGGGGGATACAAATCCTACAGCTAAAGAAATCAGCTTATCTGACTATAATGATAGGGGGGATACAAATCCTACAGCTATAGAAATTAGCTTATCTGACAATAATGATAGGGGGATACAAATCCTACAGCTAAAGAAATCAGCTTATCTGACACTAATGATAGGGGGGATACAAATCCTACAGCTATAGAAATTAGATTATCTGACAATAATGATAGGGGGATACAAATCCTATGGCTATAGAAATCAGCTTCTCTGACTTTAATGATAGGGGGGATACAAATCCTACAGCTAAAGATATCAGCTTATCTGACTATAATGATAGGGGGGATACAAATCCTATGGCTATAGAAATCAGCTTCTCTGACTATAATGATAGGGGGGATACAAATCCTACAGCTAAAGATATCAGCTTATCTGACTATAATGATAGGGGGGATACAAATCCTA